CAAACCCCGGTCCAGGGGCCTTTCTGGGTGGAGTTTGCATGTTCTCTCCTGCATGCGTGGGTTTTCTCCGAGTACTCCGGTTTCCTCCCACAGACCAAAAACATGCATGTTGGGCTGATTGGTAACTCTAAATTGTCCCTAGGTGTGAGTGAGAGAGTGAATGGTTGTTTGTCTCGTTTGTCTCTATGTGGCCCTGTGATGGACTTGCGACCCGTCCAGGGTGTACCCCGCCCCTCGCACAGTGATTGCTGGACATGGGCACCAGCGACCCCCGTGACCCAAAATGGAATAAACGGGTAAAGATAATGGATGGATGGATGGATTCACATTTAAACAATAAAAATCAAAAGTAGCAGCAGGAATGTTTCTCTCCACACGTTTCCGAAGAGCAATAACACAAATAAAGTTATATTAATAGCAATGGTGTCAGAAGCATTTGTAATGTGGGGGTACACACTGATGGGGGGTTCTGGGGGTTCTCCCCCACAAATTTTTGAATAAAGTAGATGTAATTTCCTGCATTCTGGTGCATTTTAATGGGTTGTTAAAAATTTATAGCGCATGCTTCCGTGCTGCTGTGCACGCTGGTTTACCGTCCTCCAAAATATAACAAAGACCTTAAGTGAATTATCTGATTTCTTGGCTGAAATCACACCAAGATATGACCATGTTTTAATCATTGGGGACTTAAATATGCATGTCTGTTGTCAGGAGAAGCCCTTAGTCAAGGACTTTTTAGATTTATTGGATTCAACTCAGCATGTAAATGGTCCCACCCAAGAATGGAGACACATACTGGACCTGGTGTTATCACATGGTATTTCTGTTTGTAATCTCGAAATCGGTGACACCGTGTTTTCAGATTGCATGCCCATGCTGTTTGAGTTCACCCCTTCCTATCTCACTGTTAAACTGGGTGCTCTTGCACGGCATAGCCACCCCATTAACCACTTCACTGCTGCTCATTTCACTGATGTTTATAACGCTAAAATGGTCGAGCAACCCTGTGTCTTCCACCACTGAGGAGCTAACACTTCAGCTTCATTCTGTGTGTTTAAATGTTTTGGATCATGTGGCTCTGGTTAAAACCAGACAACTGAAAATCAGACCAGAACCCTGGTTGAATGACATCACACAAGCTATCAGACAGCAGGCAAGAGGGCAGAGCACAGGTGGAGGAAAGACAGGCTGCAGGTTTCTTTTGAAATGCTAAAAGAGAGTTGGCTTTGTTATCAGAAAGCAGTAAAAACTGCTAAATCTAAATACTTTTCTGATATCATTGTCTCCAACTCTCACAACCCCAGAGTTATTTTTTCTACCTTGAACTCAGTTCTTCACCTCATTCATCCCTCACCTCTGAAAGCTTCAACCGAACTCTGTGAAAACTTTCTCCATTTCTCTAAAAAAGTTAAATCTGGTCCTCTGGACATTCAAAAAAACAAAACAAAGCAAAACAAAGCAAAAAAATCTAGAAACGTTTCGTCTCTCATCCAAGAGACTTCCTCAGTCTGAGGTGCTGTTTTCAGCTCAGTCTCTTAAATAGCACCTTCTCAGAGTGGATCAACCAGTTTGCTCCTGACAACCAAAACCAGCTGATCACATGCTCAAGAAGGACCATCAGCCTAACAATGGATCATTAGCACCCTGATGGCTGTTTATTGTTCACAGAGGGCTGAGTGATACTAGCAATCACAGCATTGTAAGAGGGGGACAGTTGAACCCGGAGGCCTCCACCCCTGTTTAATGATGGACGATTTCTTTTCACAAAGATGGCCTCCTTTACTCCTCTCTCAAACCATCGTTCCTCTCTGTCCAGGATGTGCACATCTTCATCCTTGAAAGAGTGACCGCTGGCCTGGAGATGAGTGTAGACCGCAGAGTCCTGGCCTGATGATGTTGATCTTCTGTGCTGGTCCATCCTTTTGGCCAGTGGCTGTTTAGTTTCCCCGATGTAAGACTGATCACAGCCCTCCTGACACTGAACAGCATACACAACATTACTCTGTTTGTGCCGGGGGACTGGATCTTTGGGATGAACCAGTCTTTGCCTTAATGTATTTTGGGGTTTAAAAGCCACTGGGACGTTATGTTTAGAAAATAAACGTCTCAGTTTCTCTGATACTCCCTCAACATACGGAATGACCACTGGTCTGGGTCTGGATTACTCCTTTTTGAGTAATTAAGGGAGTTTTTCCTTTCCACTGTTGCCACTGTGCTTGCTCAGGATGGGAGACTACAACAAAGCCAAGATTCAACTTGTCTGCTGGCCTCCTTAGATAGAAAACTTTACTAATTGGCTTTTCTATGTATGTGAATGTTCCTGTAAAGTGCCCTGAGACAAATTTGTTATGATTTGGCACTATAAAAATAAATTGAATTGAATTGAATTGTAACACATGTGTTAATAACATCCAGGCTCGATTACTGCAATGCACTTTTTATTGGAATCAGTCACACCTCCGTTGCTTGACTACAACTGGTCCAAAATGCTGCAACCTAATTTTTAACTGGTACAGGCAAAAGAGAGCACATTACACCAGTTTTGGCCTCCCTGCACTGGCTCCCGGTTCACTTTCAAATTCAGTTCAAAATACTTCTGTGTGTTTATAAATCACTGAACAGTTCTGCTCACTCTTATCTAAATGATCTGCTGCAGCCATATGTCCCACAGCACTCTCTAATGTCAGAGAATCATATGCTTCTATTGGTTCCAGGAACCCGTCTTAATCTCAGAGGTGACAGGGTCTTCTCTGTTGTAGGTCCAAGACTTTGGAATGACTTACCACTATGTGTCAGGCAGGCCCCTTCTCTCACTGTTTTTAAATCTCGCTTAAAAAAACACTTTTATTCCCTGGCTTTTGACACAGTGTGATTTGTTTTTAACCTGGCTGTATTCTACAATAAAAAATGTTAACTCATGTCATCTGGACCAGTTTTTTTAAAGTGAGAAATGTTTCGTCCCCCATCCGGAGGACTTTGTTCATCTGCAGCCTGCCAACCAGATCTGTCCCCCAAAATAGCCTTCATTACTTGCAATGAAGGCTATTTATGGGACAGATCTGGTTGGCAGGCTGCAGACTGATGAAGTCCTCTGGATGGATACGAAACATTTCTCACTTAAAAAAACGTTTCTCACTTAAAGAAACATTTCTCACTTAAAGAAACTGGTCCAGATTACATGATATAACTTTTTTGTTGTTATCTACCTGGATGATTGAGCTTACAAACCTTTTTTGTATTCTACAATGTTAGCTATTTAGTTATTATCTTCTTCCATTCAGATCTATATATTTTTATTTTTAACATTTTATTTAATTTAATTTTTTTGCTGTGTGCTTTGGTTGTTTGCTTCTACTGTACTGCACTTTAGTTGGCCTTGTTGCTGTTTTAAGTACTCTATCAATAAAGTGGTATGGTAAGGTATGGCATTTATGTTTACCTCCTTAAGTAAACACTTGATTCAATAACTATTTTAGAGAGCACGGCACAACAAGTGGTTTGAATGTTCTATGGACTTAAACTTACTCCATCAGAAACTGAATTTGATTTGCTGTTTTGAAACTGAATTTCACTAAATTGAAACTGCATTTAATGGTTTGAAACTGTGTTCATTTGCTTGGAAAATTCTGTTTTATAATTCAGTTTCAATTTTAAAATTCATTTTTTTGTGTCACAAATCTGGTCCTTCCAGAGTAATCGAACGTAGATTGACAGATATCCTGATGCATGCTCAATAATCCAGGTAGAAAAATCTAAAAAAGTTCAATCTGGTCCTCTGGACATTCAAAAAAACAAAACAACGCAAATCAACAAAAAAAAGTAGAAACGTTTCGTCTCTCATCTGAGAGACTTCCTCAGTCTGAGGTGCTGTATTCAGCTCAGTCTCTTAAATAGCACCTTCTCAGAGTGGATCAACCAGTTTGTTGCTGACAACCAGAACCAGCTGATCACATGCTCAAGAAGGACCATCAGCCTAACAATGGATCATTAGCACACTGATGGCTGTTTACTGTTCACAGAGGGCTGAGTGATACTAGCAATCACAGCATTGTTCACAGAGTAGATTGACAGACTGACGTTTCACGTCAGTGAAACTTCCTTCCTCTATAAAATAAAAAGATGCATTAAAATCAGAAATAAACGAGTGTGTCTCGTCAGGTCTAGTAGCGTAAATTAACATTAGTTCTGTCAGTGGGTCACATGACATAAAATATATATAATTTTTGTTCCTCAAGAGCTTTTGGTTCGGTAATTTGTTGACGGTCCCTAAACGAACCTTTACGACTCTGAGGAGGGGCAGACAGAGCGCAGCTGACCCAAATCAGACTGCCTCAGAATGAACGAGAGGAAGACACCACTGAATCCACGGAGCACAAATATCCAATGTCTAACGTAAAACAAAACTAACTTTACCGTGGTCTTCTTCTTCTGTTTTAAAGGTGATGCGCTCTGCTCTTCTTCTCCATCTGTAATTTTAACAGCCACGCGACCAGCTACAGTAATATCTGTTGTTGCACATTACTCACTCGTGCTTTCTACCTGGCTACTGTAATGTCAGTCTACATGCAACTTTTTTTCCCCTCATTCATAAAATGCTAAAATAGAGGATATTTCTGGGGACAGGTCGTCCAAAATGGGGACTGTCCCTGGAAATCGGGGACGTCTGGTCAACCTATTGTTGACCTTGTGTTGATCTGAATATGACAATACACCTAAACCTAGCCCTCACTTTCACTTTGTCAAATTAATAACTCGATCACTCTGTGTATCTAATAATTAAAAAAAAAAAAAAAACTCCTAAAACTGTAAATGACAATGCTTTTAACATTATTTTATAAAACCAAATACTACAACTTATATGTTGAAAACAAATATTTGTACTATGATAGTTGGGTTTAAATCCTTTAGTAAACGACAACTGACAAACAACCAGTATCACAGTGAACCCATCAACATCAGAGCCAAAATAATCTAAAACTTTAATGACTGACACTTCATACCTGGTTGTGAAGCCTCCTTTGGTCCCTGTGGGGGAGTCAAGGCTCTCTTCTGGTTTGGCTGGCCTGTCACGAGTCATGTGCTGCAGAATAGAGCTCAGCTCAGTAATCACGTTCTTGGTGTCTGGTGTGGATGGTGGGCTGCGTAGTTCAGGGGGCTGATCACCCCACAGTTTAGATGTCCTTTGAGTAGGAGTCCTTGGAGGTTCTGATGATGATGGAGGAGGGGGAGGGCCTTGAGGTGGGGACCCATATAACTCTGGAGGCTCCTCAATGAGAGCGTCATGATAAAGTGATGTTCTATTAATGACAGATTTGCTCTTGGGTTTGGGTGGGACAGGAGGGCGATCTATCAGGAAGGCATGGCCATCTGCAGTGGCATAGAGACTTTCCAAAGCGCTGTCACAAAAGCCTCCTTCTGACGACAATGTGGAGATGCTAGAGACATTGCTGGTGGTTTCCATGTGCTGAGGATCCCCGCTGCTGCGACTGTCAACCTCTTCGATGCCTGAGTCAGTTACCCCTGACTCTGGTTCAGGTGGAGCAGAATGGTATGAAGGGGACAAGCTGTTTCCTACCCGTTTGTGTTGATCTGAGACAGGTGGTGGGGCGTGAGGATGATAGGGAGGTAAAGGAGGTCCCCCGTTACGTCTCTGTTGCTGAATCATCTCAGCTATGGCATTGGCCTGATCATCAGGAATGTCAATACTGTTTGCAAACTCCAGTGGTGGGGGGAGGGGCTCTGAATATTCAAACTCTTCATCAATGTCAACTGAGGCTAGAGGTGGAGGGGGGATGCGGAAAGGCAGTTTTACTGGTTCTTCTAAAGACTCACCTAAAGGAACACTTCTCCTCCGTGATGCAGCTGCCTGAGGATTGGAGGACAGGGTTGGAAGGTTGTGAGAATTGGGCTGGTTGGGGTCCTTTAACTCAGATGGCCTATTGCTGTCCTGGACCTCCAACTCCTGGTTGTTTGTTTTATTGTTTGTGGCTTCTGTGCTTGTGTGGACCATCAACAGCCCAGCAGACTTGGGCTGCAACGTATCTACCACTTTTGCCGGTGCACTTTTCCTTTCTTCAACTGGCTGATGCTGCCGCTCTTCACGTGCTCCATCAGTCTCATACTTATGTTCTGTCATCTGTCTCCGAAGGCCTCCACGGCCTGGCCGACCCATAGTTGCCGTGGTTATTGAAGCAAAACTTGTCTCAATCCCAGAGCGCAATTTGGTGTCAATAAATAAAGGTTGGTTGAGGTCTGGTTTGTGACATTGCTGAAGAGGCAGGGACTGGGCATCATGCTTGGGGATTTGTTGAACATGAGGAGGATTTGTTGACTGATTTTGGGGATGATTCTGTTGTTCCTTCATGGCTCGATCACGAGCTGCCAATGCTAAAGCAAGTGGAGAATTAGGGTCCAAAGGTTTACCAGTGACAGGATGGAGGTAGATCCCATTGACCTTATAGTGGCTCTTAGGAGAGGTGACTGGGAGACTAACTGGAGTGTCCAGATTGGGGCATTGGCCTGTTCTAGTGTTCAGAGGCTCCCGAACCACTGTTGGTTCAGGAGTGTTAAAATCTGTCATATTTCCACTACCACCACCAACTGGAGGTCCAAGCTGCATTGCAGAAGGGGGGGCCATTATCCTTCTAAGCCGTTCATCACTACTAAACATGCCTTCATCAATGGACTTGGACTGACGAAGACGAGGGGTCGGTGTGGGACCACTCATTTCATCATCCCCAATGTCTATTGACTGGAAGGCAATAGAGTTTTTTTTGGCTTCCAGCCTCTTTTCACGGTCCCGCACTGCCCCAGCGATAGCTGCTGCAAAAGGGTTGTTTAGAGAGAGTGGGTCCTCAGGATGTAAACTTCCACCAACAGTGGGTGGGAGAGGAGGATGCTCAGGGGTGGTGGGCTCAATCTCCATACTGCTACCCTGGCTGCTCTTGCCACTGCTGCTGGTGGAAGGCTCTTTAACAATAATAGTGGGAATGGGGATGGAGGAGCACGTCCTTTCTACAGGTGTAGTGGGTATGGAAACTGGTCTTGAGTGGCTTGATGGCACATGGCACGTTTTCTCTGGACTGTCTTCAACATTTGACTGCTTGACCAACATTCCCTTCTTTCTAGCTGGTTTTGCTGGCACATACAATGTCTTATTACCTACCTCAGAGTAAGGATTCTCAGGCACTGGCGTACGCCCTCGAGTGCGTGCGCTCTCAAAATGCTCTGAGCTTTGGCGGAAATAGCCTCGCCTTAAAGTACCGACATCTGTGGTTCTGCTGATGGTGGTCACAGCATTAGGTGAGTTCTGAGTGAAGTTTGGTCTTATCGTGCCAAAGCTCTTGCCTGTAGGGCTAGCAACTGAGTTGTAGCCAGGTGGTGAAGGGGGTGAAATGGCTGGGGGAGGAGGGATGTCCTCTGAGGTGTCTGGCATTGAGAGGCTGCGGGAAAACTTGAGCGGAGGAGGAGTGAGAAGTCCCAATTTTTCATCTTCTGATGTACCTTGGGCAAATGGAGCAGAAAGAAAACATGAGAACTTGAGAGAGACAGCCCATTTCTTTATTTTATTCCTTCTTTCCCAGTATTGCTCTTGCTAATGTAAGCCCTTTGTAACTGGAGACCTACTGTTTTCTACACAATTCATTATCCCAGTAAGCAATATACATAATTTGAAGGCCAAAATCAGTCATAACCTTCATTTATCTCCTGCTAAATTTAAAATATAAAAAAAAACACATTTAAAAAGTTTTGAATTTATAGCTTATTTCAGAGACCAAACAAACAGATTTTTTTAGACAAACATGTCCACAGAACAATTAAATCCAATTTTCACTTGTTCATATTGCTGTAATAACACACATAAACACACACACCACAAACACACACACAACACAAAAAAACACAATCATCATAATCTTTGCTAGGAAATTATACATACTGAGAAATAGGGAAATAAGCAATATTGTTTAATTTGAACATGTTTCCATGTTTAAAAAATATCTTTTAAAGATTCAATGACTCACAAAAACAACAAAAAACAAACAGATGGTTCTATTTTGAAGTGCCATCATCCTTGTGTGGCTAATTACTTTAGTAGAATACTGAAAAGTGTGTAAAAGCTAAAGGACACAAGTCCAAGACATTCTTGCCAATACTCGATCAAAAAAGACCTCTTTTTGTCATTGAGATTTAGAGATAAACTATAATGCTATAATGCTATAATGCGAGTTTATCCAATCGAAACCATACTGGATCGTTCAAGACTAGAAATGCACTAATCCGATACTACTATCGGTATCTGTCCCGATAAAAAAAAAAAACGTCTTGATCGGGTATCATGACAATGTGACCGATCCATAAGGACAGATCTATTCAGTCTAATTCTATGTTTTGTGCTCTGAGTGACATCACACGCTAGCGAACTCACCGCACAGATTATTTTCAAAATAGAGCGAGCGAAATGATCAGCCATCTGGAACTTTTTCACACTACCTCAGCCAACACATTCAACAGCCAGCTACGTGCAATACATGCACAGCGAGTGTTGCAAGGGGTGTTACTAAAACTTCCAGTTATAACTTAATCAAGCATCTCCACAGATTTCACCCTAAAGAGCACGCTGAGTTCATTGATCGGAATCAACAGAAAGGAGGTGGCATGAAGCAGCTAACTTTGATGGAGATGAAGGAAAGAGGTGAAAAGTTTCTACCTAATAATGTGTAGACAACAAAAATCACTGAAAGGATACTGAACTTTATTAGCATGGATGGGCAGCTGCTCTCAGTTGTTGGGGATAAGGGATTCCGTCTGCTAATTAACCACCTGGAGCCACGCTATGAAATGGTAAGCCAAAATAATTTGTTGGAGATGGCGCTACCTGAGCTGCATGGTAAAGTGTGCAAACACATATTGGAGGAGATAAAATATGTCAAAGCTGTAAGTTTCATGACAGACATCGGGAGCTCTGATGTTTTCCCCTGTCACTTTTAAGTTTAAGAGCACACTGGCTGGATGAGAGTTTTGTTCCACACAGTACAATGTTGAATGCAGCAAACTTTCATGGGTCACACACCAGCGTAGCGATAGCAGCTAGCCTGAAGGAAATGTTTGACAAGTGTGCAGGTGATACAACGGTGGTGGCAGGCCCGGAGTGGCCAATCGGGATGGTCTGGAGATTTCCCGGTGGGCCGATCTGATTTGTGGGCTGTAGGGCCGGCACCCCGTTTAAAAAAACTTTTTAGAACTTCTTATTAACAACACGCTGCCACTGCTCCTAGGCAGCCCTGCTTCCACCGCATACCTGGTGTTCAGAACACTGGCTGCAGTTCGTTTTTTTTTTCTTTCTTCCACAAGTCGGCTCCGCTGTGCGACCTGTCAATCAATCCAGTAGGCGTGTCAGCAAATGACCAATCGGTAACCTCAATTTGTCCCGAAGGTAAACGCCCCTTACGTGCAGATCTGAGGCTACAGGGTTTAGTGAGAGGGGTTTGTGAAAAATCACCAGAAAAAATGGTTAAACGGTGTCAGTGGAGAACAGGCAATACAGACAGTGTTACCCTGAGAGTTTAGAGGGGGGGGATACAGTTTATTATTTTTCAAAAATTAAACAGAGTTTGGAAAACATATAAAAAGCCGGGGACTGACCCCATCAGCTGATCACAAGTTATAAACAGGAAGTAGCTACCACATGTTCATCTCTACAAAAGTAACTGCAGGTAAATCCTCCATTTTCTGTCATGATTACGTTGTATGCTTAATGGTTAAATTAAAGGTTAATGCTTAATTCAGGTTATGTTTATTTTTCATATGCAGGTTAACACAAGGTTAACAGTACAATAAAATATTCAGGATGAAAAGAACTGATTTGACTCACTAACACAAATAACAAACAAACAAGAAATACTAAAGGGTTCAATAAGGGTACAACATAAAGCACCAAAAAGTGAAAAAGTAAATACAATATTTACAAGGTCCTAAAGAAAAAATAGTAAATAACATGGTAGAATATAACAGTGCAAGTAGGATGAATTTGTATAAATAAGTATTTCAGCGTAGTAATATCCATCCATCCATCCATTTTCTTTACCCGCTTATTCCATTTTGGGTCACGGGGGTCGCTGGTGCCCATGTCCAGCAATCACTGTGCGAGGGGCGGGGTACACCCTGGATGGGTCGCAAGTCCATCACAGGGCCACATAGAGACAAACGAGACAAACAACCATTCACTCTCACTCACACCTAGGGACAATTTAGAGTTACCAATCAGCCTAACATGCATGTTTTTGTTCTGTGGGAGGAAACCGGAGTACCCGGAGAAAACCCACGCATGCACGGAGAGAACATGCAAACTCCACCCAGAAAGGCCCCTGGACCGGGGTTTGAACCAGGGACCTGCTCGCTGAGAGGCAGCAGCTCTACCAGTTGCGCCACCGTGCTGCCTTCAGCGTAGTAATATAAGCTTAAACTCACATGATGTATACTGCACATAACTAACATAAACTACACAGGTTGTGTGACAGGTTATTGCACAGGTAGTGAGGAACATAGAGATGAATTATGATGGTAAGGTAGATACATACATGATACAGCCACATAATGCATTAGCAATAAAATATTAGGTATCACTAGTTAATATTAGTCGTATTAGTTGCCACAGATGTGGCTTGGTGCAAAGTTATTGCCAATTGTTCAGTGTTATTTATTGAGAGTTCAGTCATCTGACAGCTTGTGGATAATAACTGTCTGAGTCTTTGAGTTTTTCGTGCATGATGACAGACTCCTGTATCATCTACCTGAGGGTAGTAGATGGAAGAGTTCTTGTGCTGGGTGGGTGTGGTCCTTAATGATGCTGCGTGCTTTTTGCAGTCCTCGGCTGTGGTAGATGTCCTGGATGGTGTGGAGACTGCTACCAGTGATGTCTTCTGCTGTTTGCACCACCCTCTATAGTTCTTTTCGGCTCTGACTGGTGCAGTTTCCATACCACCCTGTGATGCAGCCTGTCAGCAGGCTCTCAATGGTGCACCTATAAAAGTTGGTCAGGATGCTGGTGTTTGTACCAAACTTCTTTAGGCTTCTTAGGAAGTAGAGTCTTTGTTGGGCTTTCTTGACCACAGTGTCTGTATGTAAAGTCCAGGACAGATCCTCAGTAACGTGAACGCCGAGGAACTTGAAGCTGCTGACCTGCTCCACCTCAGTGTTGTTTATGTAGATGGTGGAGTGCTGACCTCCACTCTGTTTCCTGAAGTCCACTATCATCTCCTTTGTTTTGCTGACATTAAGAGAGAGGTTATTTTCAATTCAATTCTGTTTATGTATATAGCACCAATTCACAACAAAGTTGTCTCAGGGCACTTTACAGAAACATTCATGTAAGAGTTTTTCATTTGTTGTCATTTTTAAACTATTCCTGTACTTCTGTGCATACAAAGCAAAAAGTTTCTGATACTATCAGTCCACATCCGAGCTGATAGTAATTCCCTGTATTTACATAAGCTGTTTTTACTTAGAACTGTTTGTTAAAAACCAAACATGTCAAAACGTATCAACTAGCATTCCAGCACTGTCATAGTTTTTCTCCTCACCCTTAAACTGATACAGATGATTTCAACTTATACAGATGGGATCAGAAACTCATTACAATAAGCATTTAATCAACTGAACCTGTACAAGATGTTTTGTTCTGATCAAAGAGTGTTCCAAGCCAAACACTTGTGCCATTCT